AGTAGCTGGGATTACAGGCACGCGCCACCATGCCCAGCTGATATTTCGTATTTTTAGTAGAGACGGGGTTTCACCATGTTGACCAGGATGGTCTCGATCTCTTGACCTCGTGATCCACCCTCCTCGGCCTCCCAAAGTGCTGGGATTACAGGCGTGAGCCACCGCGCCCAGCCTAAAAAATCTTTTATACCATATTTTTATGGTACCTTTCCTATATTTAGATATGTTTAGATACACAAATACTTACCATTGTGTTACAATTGCCTACAGTACAGTAACATGCTGTATGGGTCTATAACCTAGGGGCAGCTGACTACACCATACACCCTATATGTCGTAGGTGGGTAGTAGGCTGCACCATCTAGGTTTGTGTTCACACAACAGAGAAATTGCCTAACGACACATTTCTCAGAATGTATCTCTGTCATCACGTGACACATGACTGTATCCGCAAATTCCCAAATGATTTCAACAGGTGGCGAGGGTGAGATACTCCGCAGGACTTGTTCCCACAGACGCAATCTTTCCATCGTGTCTGTATGTCCGTTCTCAGGCACTTTTCACATAAGACAAGAATGAAAGAACCTGACTCTGGAGTTGGCAGGGCTGGACGCAAATTCACCACTTACCAGCGGTGTGAGATTTGGCAAAGTAGTTAAACTTTTGGGAACTTCACTGGATTGTCTGTAAAATGGGGAGAAACCCAGCATCTCGCTGGGTGGCTGTGAGGGTCATTCATTCAGCAATGTCTCCTTTCAGCAGGTACTCTGGGGACAGGAAGGAGAATGAGACTGAGAGCACCTTCTTCCTCACAGAGCCTGGCTGTCTGGGAGGAGAGGGGATGTGTTGTGTGCTTAGCTCAGTCCTCAGCACATAGCAGCCACTCAATAAACGGCAGCTGCTGTGATGATGATGGTGATCTTGTCATTACTATTATTATTTGAGACGGAGTCTGGTTCTGTCTGGAGGCTGGAGGCTGGAATGCAGTGGCCTGATCTTGGTTCACTACAACCTCTGACTCCCAGGTTCAAGCGATTGTCCTGCCTCAGCCTCCCGAGAAGCTGGGATTATAGGGTCTGCCACAGTGCCTGGCTAAATTTTGTATTTTTAGTAGAGACAGGGTTTTGCCATGTTGTGCAGGCTGGTCTCAACTCCTGACTTCAAGTGATCAGCCCACCTCAGCCTCCCTAAGTGCTGGGATTTCAGGTGTGAGACACCGCGTCCGGCCAAATATTACTGTTACAGTTACTATGCTTCCCCCAACTAGACTTAATGTTCCCCAAAGGCAGAAACTGTCCATCTATTCCTCCACTCTCTACAGAGACCAGGACAGGCTTGGTCCTGTGTACACGCAGCCTGAGTAGATCAGAAGGGGGTCTTCTGGAAGCAGGGGAGAGCTGGAATTGCAAAGAGGAAATCCCTGGCTGGCTCCAGACACTCGGGAGGCTCAGGAGGGCAGGGAGATGGGTGTATTTTGGGAGGAATGCTTTGTTGCTTGCCTTTTGCGGAGGTGTGGGGTGTTGGCTCCATGGCTCCTGCCCACGGCCGGGCTGCCCCAGCCAACCCCTGGGGACACAGACACACCCTTGTGAACACTAAGAGGTCTATGTGTTTCTCTCCCTGGGGCTGCCCTGGCCATACCTCTGCCTCACAGCCAAGACACACACAGCCCTCGCACACCAGTTAAACCCCACCAACGGACACGCCCAGGGCTGCCCGGCTGCCCAGGAGACGCCAGCCTCTCCAACATCCCCTGGTGCTGCTGGCCTGAGGCCTGGGCCTGTAACCACAGTGACAGCGCCTTCGTATGTGCCTGTTCAGGTTTTTCAAGTGCTCTGAAAGGCAGATTTATTCACCAGCTGACAGTGGAGGCAACACCCTGGGATTCCCCAGGAAGGGGACCGAACGTGGGTTTCAATGGTCCCAAGTCCTTGTGTGTGCATCCCAAGAGAGCCCCTGGGAGGTCCCCTACTTGGCTGTGTCCCAGGGAGCTGAAAGGAGCTTCTGCACAAAGGACCTCCTCCGCATTCAGGAGACTTCATCTGGCCCCAAACCTCCTTCCCCAGGGCCCCCTCCCAACCCGTCCCCCCAGAGCGGTGCACTCACATGCGGCTGCTGGGCGGGATCTTGCGGCCATCCCGGAACCAGGTCACTTGCGGCTGGGGAAAGCTGGCGATGCGCGGGGCGCGGATGACAGCTGCTTCTCCGTGGGAGACGCTCTGGTGCTTCTCCCTCTCTTCAAAGCTCCCCATGTCTGCAGCCGGGACAATGGGAGTAGAATGAGGCACCGGAGGTCAGCCTCAGGGACTGCCCAGCTTGCAGGTTGGAAGTGGTGGGCATGGATGGAAAATTCGGGGCAGACAGGATGACCATGGGGAAGGGGGCACCCTGCTTGGGCCACCCACATCACCTCGCTGCCCCATTCTCTGCCTCACCACTGGCACCCTGCCTCTGCTACTGTCTCCATTCATATCCCTATATCTTTCCATCAGCCAACTCAACCAGCCACCACGAGAGGTTGGTCATCGTTTCACATGTTTTACAATGGAAAAATCTGCTCAAATGGCCTCAGAGAGGTTAGTTGACTTGTCCAAGGTCACCTAGTCAGGCAGAGACAGTCAGAATTTGAACTTGGACCTCAAACCCTGGAGTCAGGCTGTGCAGCTCCTCCTCCCCTCCCTACAGTGTGGCTTTCAGGACGGCAGAGGTTCCGGTGTGAGGTGAAGGGCAGGTTCCTGTGCCCTTTCAGGGAGAGAAGGGTGGGTATGCAGAGAGAATGGGGTCTTAGATGCTTGCAAATGGGTGCAGACAGCGTTTCTCTCCTGCGCCTTGGGTGTGTAGTGTGTGAGTTTGTGTGTATGTGTGAACCATATTGCTCTTTTAAAACATGCCACCCCCTTGGCAGATAAGGAGGGGAACATTTATCCTGGCTCTGTCAGCCAGGAGGGAAGCGGAGAGCAGAGGAGATGTGGAGAGGACACTCTCCAGCCTGCCTGCCGGGGCAGGATGAGGTGGTGGGGAGACTAATTCCAACACAGAGGCTTGGAGATAAGGTTTGGGAAGGGGTATTTGTGCATCTACCATGCCCTCGAAAATTAAGGGACGCCAGGTGTGGTGGCTCACGCCTGTAATCCTAGCACTTTGGGAGGCCGAGGCGGGTGGATCACGAAGTCAAGAGATTGAGACCATCCTGGTCAACATGGTGACACCCCGTCTCTACTAAAAATACAAAAAATTAGCTGGGCATGGTGGCGCGTGCCTGTAGTCCCAGCTACTCAGGAGGCTGAGGCAGGAGAATTGCCTGAACCCAGGAGGCGGAGGTTGCAGTGAGCCGAGATCGCGCCATTGCACTCCAGCCTGGGTAACAAGAGCGAAACTCTGACTCAAAAAAAAAAAAAAAGAAAAAGAAAATTAAGGGACATCCTTACTACTTTGAGTGTGGCCCGTGGGCAGCTGCCTGGGCACCACATCTGGGCACCTGTCAGAGATGCAGAGTCTCAGCCCTCCCCACCCCAAGACCTGCTGGATCAGAAGTAGCATTTTAGCAAGACACCTGGCAAAGTGTGTCTGAGTTCAACTGTGAGGAGCCTATATGTCCCAAACTTGATGGTGTGTAGAGTTAAAAAATGCTGATGGGAACCTCACCCCCAAAGCTTCTGATTTCGCTGGTGAGGAGTGTGGGAATGGGGGACCTCCCACAGCACCCTGTTTTGTTTTGTTTTCTTTTCTTTTTCGAGATGAAGTCTCACTCTGTCACCAGGCTGGAGTGCAGTGGTGTGATCTTGGCTCACTGCAACCTCCACCTCCCAGGTTTGAGTGATTCTCCTGCCTCAGCCTCCTGAGTGGCTGAGATTACAGGCACCTGCCACCACACCTGGCTAATTCTTGTACTTTTAGTAGAGATGGGGTTTCACCATGTTGGCCAGGCTGGTCTCGAACTTCTGATTTCAAGTGATCTGCCCATCTCAGCCTCTCAAAGTGCTGGGATTATAGGGATTATAGGTGTGAACCCCCGCGCCCAGCCTGCATCTCACCCCATTTTCTAAGCCATCACTAAATGTGCGTTGACCTGTGCAGAGAATTCCTATGCGCAGAAAGGTTTCACACTGCTGACTTACAGCCTTCGTTTCCCCATTGCCAAACAGACCCCTTTTTAACCAAGGGGCTGCATCCTAAGATGCCTGGGCCCTTCCTATGGCGTCAGCTGTTATTTCTCAGCTCCTCTAAGACCACGGACTCTTCTTCCTTTCTCTCCACCAGGAGTTCTCCAACCTGGCTGTACCTTAGAATCCTTGAGGAGCCTTTAATATTCCCAGAGATGAGAATCTTTTGGGGTGTGTGGAACCCTGACCTCAGTATTTCTTTATTATTTTAGAGACAGGGTCTCGCTCTATCATTCAGGCTGGAGTACAGTGGAGTGATCATGGCTCACTGCAGCCTTGACCTCTCGGGCTCAAGCAACCCTCCCACTGTAGCCTCCTTAGTAGCTGAGACTACAGGTGGGTACCACCACGCCTGGATAATTTTATTTTTAATAGAAACAAGGTCTTGCTAGGTTGCCTAGACTGGTCTGGAGCTCCCAAAGTGTTGGAATTACAGGCGTGAGCCACCGTGCCCAGACCGGACCTGAGTCTTTCTAAAGCTGCTCAGGTAGTGCCAGCACGAGCCAAGGCTGAGTTGGGTGGCTCTCAGAATCTCCTGAGACTTGGCAAACTCACAAAGGTGCTCTCCACTCTCCCTACCTCCCAGGCATCCCCCAGGGCACGGAAAGGCCCTGCTTCAACCCCTCTAGCTCTCTGGGCACCTGATTCACTCTCTTGGTTTGCAGATTCTGCCAAACAATCATTTGAGAATGCGGGCCTACAGTTCATTTTCCAAACCCTAGTCTTGATTCTCTTTCCAGCCACGCTGGCCCCATGGTGGCTTCACCTGGCCTAACGGTTTGACCATAATCTCCCCGCAAATGACACCTGTGCCTTCTGCTCTGGCTCTTCCCCGAGCTCTGAGACTCAATTTCCAACAGTCTGTTGGGCATTTCTCCGAGGAAGGCCTTTGGTCACCTCCTTGCCAAGCTCTCCTTGCATCCTTAGTTCTGTTAAAATCTGCCTTCATGCCCTGCAAACCCAATTACCTAAGCTCAAACCCCTGGAGCTTTTGGTGGCGTTTCCCTTCCCTGCCCCCACCAAGTCCTTCAGCTCTTCCTCTGGGACATTACCATTATATGCCAAGGACACTCTGGTCCATCTGGCCTTGCCAATGGGTTGGCCCCTTACTCCAGCGGCACAGACCCCGAGTATGTCTCCCACAACCAGATCCCCTCTTGTCCATCTCACACACTGATTTTTTCTTTTTTTTTTTTTTTTGAGACAGAGTTTCACTCTTGTTGCCCAAGCTGGAGTGCAATGGCGTGATCTTGGCTCACCGCAACCTCCACCTCCCATATTCAAGCGATTCTCCTGCCTCAGCTTCCTGAATAGCTGAAATTACAAGCATGTGCTACCATGCCTGGCTAAGTCTGTATTTTTTGGTAGAGATGGGGTTTCTTCATGTTGGTCAGGCTGGTCTCGAACTCCCAACCTCAGGTGATCCACTCACCTTGGTCTCCAAATATGCTGGGATTACAGGTGTGAGCCACTGTGCCCGGCCTTACACACTGTTCTTGATTAGTTTTTCTGACCTTCTCAGAGCCTTTGGGAACTCCTCACTACCCTAGGAAAGTCTAAATTCCCTGGCCTGGACTTAAGGTTCTTCCCTAACCTGACCCCAGCCAACCTTTCTTGCCTTAATGCCCATACCATGTCCTGCCACCTCCCACCCCACGGCCAGTATTTTGGCTGGGCCACTGCCTGGAATGCCACTTGAGCAAGCCAAGAGTCACCAAGGCACCACGATTATACAGCATCCTGGAAAGATGTAGTCAATTAAGTGTTTCAACAGATCAAATCTGCTGTGGCATCCTTGTTCGACACTTGGTAGGCAGTGTGTGTAATGGTAATAGCTTTGGAGATTTTCAGACCTGACTTCAAATCCTAGCTCTGTCACTCATTAGCCATAATGTTGGGCAAACTTTCTTTTTCTTTTTTCTTTTTTTTTTTTCTGTAGAGACCCAGTCTTATTATGCTGCCCAGGCTGGTCATGAACTCTTGGCTTAAAACAATTCCTCTCACCCAGGTCTCCCAAAGCATTGGGATTACAGGTGTAAGCCACTGTGCCCACCCAGGGCAAAACTTTTAACTTTGTTAAGCCTTAATTTCCTCTTCTGTAAAACAGAGTTAAGAAGGGCTCCTTCCTCAAAGGTTGTACTATTTCATGAGATGATATGTGTATGTCAGGCTGTGTCTCTCTAAGGATGGCTGCATCAATATTTTGCTACTATTCGCATGCTCTTTTTACAGTATGATGGACAATCCTCTCATAGACAGATGGGGCATAGGTCCCTTCCCCTTAAATCTAGGGAGCTTGTGACTATTTGACCAATAGGATGTGTAGGAAGTGATGCTATGTGACTTTTGAGACTTGGTCATCAAAAGGATACAGCTACTACCTGGCTCTCACTCTCCATACTAGCCCTTGGAATCCAGCCACCATGTTGTGAGGAAGCTCAATCTAGCCAAAGCAGATGTGGGATAAGCCCTCATGGAGAGGAACTGAGGTCCCCAGATGACAGCCAGCATCAACGATGGACATGTGAACAAACATGTGAGCCCTGAGAGGACTTCAGTTCCATCCTTCAGCCCCAGACTGAGCCTCAGCTGAGGCCTCAGTCATCCTAGAATAGAGTCAAGCTGCCTTTGCTGTTCTCTGTCCAGATTCTAGAGTCATAGGATCTGTGAACATGATAAATGATCGCAGCATACTATTATGTTTCAGGGTAATTTGTTACATAGCCATAAAACTAGAAGAGTATATAAAAGTGTTAAAAATTGTATCTAATATTTGTAGTGTTAAAATATTGGAATCCTACACATTTTTCACAGTTTAGTTTAAACATCACCTCCTCAATGAAGATTACCCCAAACCATTCAAATAGAATTTAAAAACAGAGCAGTTGAGCACTTACCCTACCCCAGATTTCTTTCTAGGTAGATTTTCCATGCATTATCTCATTTAATCCTTACAATAACATGACAAGCTCAATTTAAATAAATATACATTTTTAGTTGTTTATTAATTTCCATTACTCGGCTCTGTCTATAAAAAAATTACATCAATGAATCACATTGATTTCAGTTCTTAAAATAATTTTATCCACTT